AGGATACGGAAAAAGATTGTTAATGTCAATAAATAGGTTTTTTTTCGCGAATGCAGAAGATGGCACCAAGCCATCCACGCTCTATTATTATCAATTCGAAAAAAAAACAATTGCGAGAAGAGATGAAGAGAGAGAAATATCGTAAGATGGAATCCATTCCAGATCGTGCTTTCAGCTCTCAAGGATCTCCTCCTTTTAACTTCCTACATACGAAGCAATACGACTACGCACTCTTCGTGTAAACACGTAGGTACGGTGTATAAATCACGCGCGCCCTGCATAATTTACATTGTATGTATATATGTATATACACGTGTAAATAAGTAAGTGTACGTGCAAACATACGCGCTTTTTCTCGTGTCTCTTCTCGCGAGTACAAACGTCATCGCATGCATCGATCGGTAGCTTATAACACGACCGGATTGTCCGATTGTTGTATACGTACGCGGAATTTTCTCTTAGAATTTACCCTGAAAATCATGAGAATCGTGGAAAAAAATATTAATATCTATCACAATAACATATACACTGAAAAAAATATTTATGTAAAGTTACATGATTAAACTAGGTTTTTTCCGACCCAGCATAATCATGCAATATTTATACTTATATAGAAGATTACAGATTATATGTAATTTCATATGAAATATATTCTTAAATATTTTCAAGATTAAAAATATTTTACTGAACACGTAATTACACACAGGAAATGTTAGTAATGTATAAATACTATAAAATAATGTTATAAATAAAATAGATAAATACTTATAAAATAAAGTTCTAATAAAGTAAAAATAATAATTTAAAATTACGTATGATTTTTGCATAAAAATAGTAACTTTACCTATATTTTGCATGTATTTTTACATTAATATGTATTTTCACTTTAAAACAAATGGAAAAAATATATAGTGATACGCAAGTAACTTTTCCAGTTCTGAACTAGTAATTTCCATGTAAAAATACATGGATTTTTTTCAGTGTATAAAATATGTTCGATTAATTTTACTATGTACATATATTAATATTTTTTATTGTGATAGATATTAATCAGAGAAGTTCTAATACAATTTTTCCAATAAAAAAAAATGTAAAATACGTAAATAATAAATGTAAAATTGCACGATAAATAATGAAAATGTATGCATATTATCCCGCACGATTACTATATATGATTTTCAGGGTAAATTCTAAGAGAAAATTCTCTCTGTGATACGTAGGTAGAGGTGATTCAGAACGAGAAGTCTGACAGATTATTCGCGAGGCCATTTCAATGAAAAAATGTCAATGAATAGTTACGGAAGTATTGAATATAGGATCTATGTTCAATGACATTTTTTTTACTCGAAATAATGTTCCAAGCAATTTGTCAATATTTGTTATATATGTCATATCTCGAAGATAATAAAAAATTTATAGAGTATCACTATATATTTTAAAAGCGACGTGAAAAATTTGATGCCGATTCACGAAGGTTTTTCAATAAAAAATACGAATTATTCCATATATGAGAACATTGTTACGTAAAGCAAAGAAAGAACAATGACATAAAAATCTCATTTTTTTTATGAAAGTGTTTTATTTGTTTTGATTGATTTGTGCAAGTTTTATTACGATTCGTTGAGAGTGAAACCAGAAAGGACAAGAATAATTCAAATAGACTATAAAAACGTATTATCGAATTAAAAATATTATAATAATAAAATATAATAAAAATATTGTAATCAAATATAATAAAAGTATATAGATGAACCAGATAATATAATAATTAAAACCATTATTATTCAATTAATAATATAATATTATATGCATTAGTTATTTTTATTCGAAAAATGCATTGAAAAAATGACTAAATTAATACATATTTAGTTCAATACTGTCAAATAAATATTATTTGAAACAAATAAATATTTATTTGTTTTGAAAAGGATTTCCTTATATCAAATAAATATTTTTCATATCAAATAAATGATTTATTTGGCAGTATGAAATAAATACAAGAATTAACTAAATTTTGTTCAGTGCGTAAATATAAATATTCCAAATTCAGCCACTTTTTGCTAGGTCTATACAGGCAGTGCACAATCTTAATTATACCTGACGCGTATCTGAATCGGGAGAAGGCGATGCACTTTTCCGCGGCGCGCATAAACTGGCGCGCAAATCTACATCGTAGATAGGTAATTACGGTAAATAACGGTATATACCGTCGTAAACTCGCGCGCTGCTTTACTTCATTCTGACGTTTTCGCCCACGCTCTATCGACTATTGTTCGACTTTCTATACAAGCGGCTGGCGTCCTCTCCAACGTTTAGCAAACTCGCGCGAACGAATATTTAATCTTCGCATTTGTGGAGTAATATTGTGTAATTTGAGAAAAATACAAGTATACAAACGCTCGAAAGAAAGGATAATTTCACTGTATAACACCATGGGCTTTTCCACAGAGGCGGGCAAGAGAGGATATTTTTGTTCCCTTTGGAATCAATAAAAAATTAAGCATTTGCTCTCGTTTGAATAAACAAAATTTATGCATATTTAATATTAAAAAAATTGAAAATAAAAATAAGTTTAGAAAAATTAAAAAAGAACAAAATATAAAACAATTTTAATCATGCTCCTTCCCTAAAAAAGTCCTGCTACAGAATCTTTCTTATTGCTGTCATAATTTTTTAATCGCTTAAGTCGATAAAAGAATTTACTGGATCGAAAAAAATTTCAAAAAAATTGTGTTCTTATTTTTCCAAGATTCTTTTTCCAAAATTATAATTTCATCATAATGTTCACGCGTCATTCGTATAAGATGTATCGGAAATATATAGAATCTCGTTTTTTATCGCACTTGAAGATACGATCTTTATTTCTTTCTTCCTCTGTCTTTCTCTCTCTCTGAGATTTAAGTCAAGGAGAGAATCGCTATTCATCGAGAAACAGCTCATGCAATATTAGTTCGACAAGGGAACAGAATAAGAAATGGTAGAAAATTTTATCCACTCGGAATAAAATAAAAAGTCTAATATTTATAAACGAAAAACACTATTCGGTACTTCCTTTTATCTAATTTTGTCGAGTTGTCTTTTTTAAGTAAAATTGCTCTTAAAAAAATACTTCGACTACTGATATAATTGTTACATATCAAAACAGTAGCATACGGTTTTCTATATTTTTTAGACTATATTTTTTTCAGATATCCAAAGAATATAAATATTATTTAATTTGTTCGAAATATCTAATTTTTTTTATATACCTACTATATATATTATTTTTGTTGAACTTGTCGTATTTTTATGCTCAAGTTTATTTTTCTCAATTTTATCTCGTTTCACATCTCGTCTAGTTTAGTGTATTGTTATAATTTATTTTAACTACTTTTTGTTTGCGATTGCTGCTGCTTGTATAACTTGAAATACGAAAAAATGCGAGCGCGTTAAAATAGGATATCGTCACATTGTCCAGTATTCTTCTTGCTCTGAATATGCTCGTAACAAGTCAGTTATACAAGCTTTAACGCGCTTTGGCCTCGAAAGAATCCCAAGAAGAATTAACGGCGGATCTCTATATATGCGCATACATGCACGCAAGATATATTTGCCCGAGTGAATGCGAATGAACGCAACTGATTGTGTCGGCTATGTAAATCGCGTCTGAATAATAAATAATCCGTCAGGATCGCGCGCGCAATTTCCCCGAGGACGTTGTGTCAATGTGCAGCAAATCACTTTTGCCGCAATAACAAGGCGATATTTTACACGTAACACGTTTTTCGCATATGCGCCTTGCAAGGTTTCGCGGTGCATAACACCGAGATTGCCGAGGCTTAGCGAGCTTAGAGACTGTCATTTCTCTTGACAGAGAAATGAAAATGATTAGACCGAAAGAGAAGAAACAAATTAAATATTCTTATTATTTTTTTCGTAAATTATTTTATAAAAATTGTAATTTGTTTTATAACTTTTTTATAAATTAAAATAATACTTTTAAAATTAAAAATTATTTTTTAATTTTTTTAATGAGTAAGACCGAAAGAGAAGAAACAAATTAAATATTCTTATTATTTTTTTCGTAAATTATTTTATAAAAATTGTAATTTGTTTTATAACTTTTTTATAAATTAAAATAATACTTTAAAAATTAAAAATTATTTTTTAATTCTTTTAATGAGTAAGAACTTTTATTTTTTATCCGATAGTAAGATTTTTCTTCTATTTTTCAGATATGAAAATTTGTATTACACAGTTTCTAGATGGAAATAAATGTATATTGTATACATATATATACATATAATTTTTTTCTTCCACACAGAGAGAATTTTTTCTTAGAATTTACCCTGCAAATCGCGGTAAAGTTTCTCTGATAAATATTTACATACCACAATAAAAATATTAATATTTACCACAATAAAATGTTTCATTAATTTTACTATGTACATATTAATATTTTTTTATGATAAATATTTTCAATCAGAGAAATTCTTATAAAATTCTTCCAATACTATATTATCCCACGATTATCGTCATGATTTTCCGGATAAATTCTAAAAGAAAATTGTCTTCGTGTATTTTTTACGCAAACGATTTGACGATACATTTTTCGAGATTTTTCTAACTTTTCCCAGAAGTAATTAATTAATTATGATTGAACGAATGTGTCCGATCAGACAATGGACTTTGATATTTTCTCGTTTCGATAATAAACGATACGGTCGAATCGATCGATCGAGCTTTACTCGGCGGCTCACGTATGGAAGTTGAGAGCTTGTGGAGTCGTTGGCCTTGACCCACTTCCAAATGTCCTCGACTGGTCCCTCTCTTCCATCTACTCGCAGACGTCTCGAAACTTGGGCCTTAGACGAAGCGGGTTCTTTCTTTTATCGCGAGATACGCGACATCACGCGCAGCTAATCGGTCGTTCGATTATCTCTCACATTATTGTATTTGTATTTAATCGATCGTGCGACAGATAGCATCCAATCTTGAAGTGTACACTTGGTGCATCTATCATATCATTCTTAATGTATTTTTCGTGTAAATATTTTCTGTATACCGATTTGATGATACGATGCGTGGAAATAAGAGGATGAGGGAATGTTATTCGTTTATCAAGCCGTTTATTTACAACAACAACAACACATGGACAACAATTTCGTTATCTTAGTCCACATCATCCTCGCAATAGTCCCACTCCTCCTCTCGCGATCGAGATGCTTGCGGATTTTTAATCGCCGTATCAGGTTTGCCGATACCTAGAACGGTTAGCATTCCTGCCGAGTTTAGAACAAATATTTGTCATTAATCAAACGAACTCTTGCTCTAAATACAAATTGCTTTATTAATTACAATCGTAAAATTTTGATTTGTTACAACTATGTTTCAAATGTCGATATTTTTTTTTTCATCGAGAAAGTGTTTTTATATTCTTAACAAAACATGTATTATATAGAAATAACAGGAATAGTATAAATAAATTTTATTTAAATAATATATATAAAATATATTATTTTTATAATTAAATAACATATATTATATAGAATTATATTATATAGAAATGACAGGAATAGTATAAATAAATTTTATTTAAATAATATATATAAAATATATTATTTTTATAATTAAATAACATATATTATATTGTAATATATTAACATTATTAAATATATTAATATTATTAAATATTATTAATATATTAAATATATTAATAGATATAAAATATATTCTTTAAATAAATTTAGGAAAATTTTTGGGACGAGCCCTGAATGAAATAACTCTGGTATGTAACTATCTATCTATTCAATCTGTTGGATGCTGACCTTTCAGTTTTCCAATCATGTTTGCGGTTTCTCTATCTTGTTCCCCCTCCGCTATCGGCTTCCTTATACTCTGATAAATCATGTATCCAATATCGAAGACGTGATTAAATACAAACTGAGCGGTGCAGAGCACCATAACCACGAGAATTGGTAGACATAGGCTGGTCTCAAAATCGTCCAGGAACAAGTTCACCGATTCCGGTAGCAGATCACCGGACATCCTTTTCGCTTGGATCAGAAGTCTCGTTCTCTAGGTTAATTTTCGCACTTTTGTTGATTTCTTCTCTTTTTTCTCCTTTTTCATAATATTCGAAGCGATCACCATCGTCTCGTCATCTCATTTGCTCCACGCGAGAAGCGTATCTAATTCCTTGTAATTTTCTACGTCTTTGCTCGAAAATAGAGCTAATTATGTGTCTTGTCAATTTCGTTGTTCAAGAGGAGAGGTATTCATATGTTTTCGTAACTCGCTCGAGTGTCAACCTCGCGTCTTGCATTCTTGCATTTACAGAGAAAATTTTCTCTTAGAATTTACCCTGAAAATCCTAGTAATCGTGGGACGATATCTACTGTAAAAAAAGTAAAATTATATAAATAATAAGTGTAAAATTACACGATAAATGATGAAATTGTGTACATTTTCAAATTTCGTGTAATTTTACATTTATGATTTATGTAATTTTACAAATTATTTTTATGCAATATATTACAGATTTTTTTATAGTGCGGTATTGCAAAAATTTTATAAGAATCTTTCTGATTAATATTTACCACAATAAAAATATTACTATCTATCTATCACAATAAAATATAAAATATGTTTGATTAATTTTACATATTAATATTTTTTATTGTGGGAAATATAATCAGAAAAACTCTTATAAAATTCTTCTAATATTCTATTGTCCCACAATTATCGTGATTCTCAGGATAAATTCTAAAAGAAAATTCTCTCCGTGCACGAATGGGGAAATAATTAAAATGACAAAGGCATTTTTCTTTATCTAAATACAGTAACGATAAGAAAGATAAGAACGCAATATAGTGATATATAAAACAATTAAAAGGAAAGAAACGTTGCTTGTTATGTATAAATAAAAATGAATGATAAAACACACTACTTTATACTATGAAATAAATTTTAAATCGGTGTCATCACTACGTCATCGTCAATAACCGGGGTAAGAATCAACGATTCTTGCAGATCGGACATAATACTTTCGTTGCAAATTCTTTGCATTATCCTGCCTATAGTACTCGAGGTTGATTGAGAAGTTGGAATGTCGAAGTCTCCCTCGGATAAACAATAATCATGATATTTACAGGAATTAACGGATGTTGACGGAGAAGGCGTTATCGAGTTTAAAGCGACATTGGATCCTAAGCTACCACATGGCAGAATCCTCTCTGTCCGCTCTTCTGATTCCGTGAGTGCCGATGTTTCCTGGCTGAAGGACGTGCGAACATAAAATCGCGGATCGATGAGGACGGGACTATTTTGGTCAGGGATCATCAGCAGTTGTTGGACAGACGACTTGGCCTTTTTCAAGCACGGTTGGAAATGCGACGCATTAGGATTCGAAGATCGCGAACGAACGATCCTCGAATGTTGATCACATTCGGTTGTCCTCGATGGAGCGGTTTTCGGATTTAGATCGGCGGCAGCTTCCACAATTTCCATCGGTTCGCCTTCGCATTTACCTCTACTTCGTCCCGTCAATTCAACTAGCGACGTCGGGTTGTCGTTGACCGTCCTCGTTGTTGGATGAGTGTTCGACGCGGAGCTGCTCTCCTCTTCGGCTTTCCCACGTGACGCTTCTCCTCGCGTGACGTTTATAGATGCGGGAATCTGCGCTCCTTCCTTCGCTCCGAGTCGTCGCTTACCCGGATCCAGGTGCTTCACGATATTTATGATATTTGCGAAAATGAAACGATTGTTCTCCACCAGCGCGCGTATTTGTGCAACAGCGTCGTAGCACGATTTCTCCCAAGCCAGGGAAGCGACGGATTTGAGATCGTTCTGGAGAGAGAGAGGAAAATACTTGGAGAATTTTCTCTTAAAACTTACCCTGAAAATCATACTAATTGTGGGATAGGTATGATATAATATTAGAAGAATTTTATCAGTTTTTTTAATTAAATATTTACCACAATTAAAAATATTAACATATTTTATATCTTATTGTGAATATTAATTTTTCTTGTGATGTAAGTAAAATAAAATTCTTCCAATATTGTCCCATGATTTTCCGGATAAATTCTAAGAGAAAATTCTGTCTGTGCATTTAATAATTTTGAAAAAAAATGATAAATATTTGTCACTTCATAGTTGGTCCATCACCTGTACATTAGATTGCTGAGACGCGTATTCCCGCGCTTTAGCCGTCACACATTTCGGTAGAGAGGACACTTCCGCCAGAGAAATGCCATAGTGATTGGTGGGTCCTATTCCGCGGATCAGCTTGTGCGTGTATATCAGATGTAGTTCGTTTGACTCTTCCGATTCCGCGGTTTTCGTCTCGAAGCAATGACTGAAATCAGTAGCAGCGATAACTTGGATTTTTTTCTCTCTTGCCGGGCTATAATTATATTTGCGCAAGATATACGTAGAATATTTTATCTCATTCTTTCTGCGAAAGTATATAGGTACACGAGAAGAAAAATGTGTTCACACATTTTGAAAAGAGAAAGGGTGTATATAGGATGTCTGAAAAATTGTTAAATATTTTTTCAATGTCAAATTATCTCTGGCTAATTTTGAAGTCAATTTTTTGTAACAAAAATGTTGAGACGAATTTTTCCCAAACTTAAAAAAATCTATGAAAGTAAATTGAAATTAACAGAAAATATACTTTTGTAGATCCTTTGATTGAACACAAAATTAATCTATAGAAAGCTCTCTTCTTCAATTCGACATTTTAATTTGTAATTCAACATTTTTGCCTCCAAATTGACTAGAGAATCTTCTATCAAAAAAATTAAAACATTCGGTGGTTTTGGGACACTATATGTAATTTTCAGTTCCACATGAAGAGAATTTTCCTTTAAAATTTAAAATAAATAAAAAATATTTATATGTGCATAGTAAAATTAATCGAACATATACATTTTATATCTTATTGTGGTAGATATTAATATTTGTATTGTGTGATTAATCAGAGAAACTCTTATAAAATTCCATTACTATGATTTTCAGGGTAAATTCTAAGAGAAAATTCTCTCTGTGCAAGCTATGTATATATACATATATGTATGTGTTTGTGTGGGAATGTGCATATCCATATGTATGTACATAGATATAAATGCACGTGAACGGATTTTTTCCCCGCTAAGCGGATTACGTTTGCGCAAGATTTTCACGTACGTTGTCACGTTGTGATACATGTTTCTCAGCGCGGTGAGATGCAAGAAGTGCGTCGCGGCAAACGTGAACGCGGTCGTCAGCAATAATTTCTCGCATATTGACCAAGCGATGGTCGAAGCTTCCTCGACGCTGGTATGTCTACCGAGCTCGTCTAAAACCACGAGGGACCTGGACGTGACGGATTGCAGAATGTATTGCACCTCCTTTATCTGAAAACGAAGAAACAAATACAAAATTTTATATCAATTTGGTCTCCTTCGCATCGAGAGCATCGGTAGTCAAGGAACATTGAATATGATCACGAATACATGGACTCACTTTTGATAGAAAAATTAAAGAAAAAATATCGAACATAAAGTAGTAGTATTTATATGTACCTATATTATTATTATTATTATTATATTATATAATTATATTATATAATTATATTATATATTATATATTTATTATATATAGTATGTTTCATATATTTATTATATATAGTATGAAAAGAGAGACTGCGATGTATTCGTGAAAAAATGATACATTTTTCGGCCGATTACCTCGACGACGTAGGTGGACACGTTGAGCTCGTTACTGCGGGAGCTCATTCTGCAAAGTATGCGATCCGCGATGCGAAACGTCGCCTTCGTTGCCGGCACGTAAGAACCAATCTGCAATTAACGCGTGTAATGAGCATGAGTCAAGGAGTCGGAATGTTAGATGAAATATGTCAGTTTATAACAAACGCATTCCATATAATATGGATTAGTAATATGTCATAATAATATGTCTAATAAATAATAATACTTTTTGTTAACATTCAATATAAAATATTTAATATTCAACGAAACACTTAACATTCAATAAAAATATATTTTTTTTCTCTGAAGGAAGAGAATGATCATTTTCATTAGTTAAGAAAAGAAAAAAAATTAGAAATGAATTGTAAAGTTACATAGAAATTAATGAATGAAGGATTTGATAGGATTTGTTACCTGTGCCATGATTTGAAGTAGAACGATCTGTTTTAGATACGTGGACTTGCCGCTCATGTTTGGCCCAGTTATCAGGTGAAAATTGTACGGGGTCGAGGCGTTCTGCGCTCACAAAGAATAATAAGGCGTGAAAATACATAGATTTGCGGATGACACATTTTCGACACTCACCACATCGTTAGCTACGGGTAAGTCCCTGTTAAATAACTCCATAATGGGATGAAGCGAGTTTACTAATTCTAATTTCGTCCCGAATGTAGGTCTCACGTATTCTGGATTACTGCTGATTTGCGCCAACGACAGAACCAGGTCTAATTCCGCCACATCGGCGCTCAGTTGAAACAAGCAGCCGACATGCTGTCTTATATCCTCCAGTAAATAAGTCAACAATCTGCAAATCGTTACTATTTGTTCATACGAAATTAATACAATTTTATAACAGGAAGCTTTGCACGATCAACTCACGTGTTACTCATCACGTAGATCTCCTCGCAAGCCTTCTTGCACTGTTTATTTAACGTCAATAGAGCTGTTGTGGTCATCGTAAAGGATCTCCTGTTCTGTCGCGTCTACGTAATCGCAAAAATTAAAATTAAAATCTTAGTAAAATTGTAATAAAAATTAAAATAAAATTTCGTAAACGAAATGTCGGCGATAAATTACCTGAATAAATTCCTCTGGCAAGTCTGAGATTGCCATGTTGACATTTTGCTGTATCGCAACGTTTATATGGTAGCTCAAACTCGTATTATAATCCAAGGATAATGGGAGCTTGTATTTCACGGCTAACTGCTCTACCATATCTATTTAAAGACCCGTCAAATGAGGAATATATACATATAATTTTTCGAATAATTTTAATATTATATTCTTATGTATACTATATATACTTCTCATGTCGCTAATTAATTCGCAATAAACTTGTCGAGCGACGTCCAACAATTCGTTGATATCAGCTTTTATAGCGAAGCATCGCTGCATACTTGAGGAAGTGCAACCCTTCACGAATCTCGCATCCGTGTGTATCAATGTCAAAATCTTGTCCTTTATAACACGGAATTCCGAGTTTTGTAAATTCTGCACGTTCGAGGGAGAAAATCATTGTATCGATAAGAACGTAAATAATCGTAAAAGTAAAAAATATATTGTTATATAAATTATTAAATTGCAATATAATATAATATAATTTAATATTTTAAACGAATATTTCTTAATTATATAAATAATGGAAGATGAAAATTTTATAAAAATAATATTAATAAGTCGTAGGAACGCAGCACCTTTCGCATATTGACGAAGAACGGATGAGTACCAGTCGCAAGGATTGCTTCTAATTCCGGAATGATATCCAGGGAGCTCTTCAAGAGCAACGCATAGCTTAGGTTTCGCTCTGCGTTCTGTACATCATTGACATATAAAGGTTTAAACGCTAACGTCAACAAGCGATCCGTGCCGAAGAGGCGTTGTACCACCGGCTGTAAAATACAGATATCTCACATAATGCGCGGGTGCAAAAGTTGAACCAATTTTTTTTTTTTAGATTCGTAATCCTATACCTGAAGACTGCTGAATAGAGAACGATTGGCCACCAATTCTGCTACGCACGACTGCCGATTCAGGATCAAACGTTCGTCGCAGCTGGGCTGGAGGATGGAAGCGCGCAGGAGTCTCCTACCCATCGGGGTCAAGCAGCGGTCCATCGTGCCTAGTAAACTGACAATGGTATGTTTCGACTGCGAGACAACCAGTTCCAGACTCTGTGCGCTCTCGATATCTGCGCAAACATAAATTATTTATTAATTAAATTTTAAATTATAAGTAATTAATTTAATTATACAAAAAATAATTATATATATAGAGAAGAAATTTGTAAAAATAATATCAATGTCTCAAGAGTGCAGCATCTGAAGTGATAATAAATTTAATTTAATTTTAATTAATTAAATGATTTTTTAAATAATTGTAATAACTTTAAAAAAACATTAATTTTATTGAAAAAATATATAATATTATATATTATATAAAAAAATGATTTCAAAAAATATATTTATATATTTTAAAAAAATTTTACCAATCATTGTGGTATTCGGTGATCCTTGAAACTCTATCCGCATCGATTTTGGAGCGTAAACCATGTGTTGGACGTATTCCACGTATTTTAACAGTGCCGCGGCCGCAGCCAAAGCGTAGTACCTGAACAGGATAACACTCTTTGTCTCTCTAATCGTATCACTCGCTATTCATTTAGGTGTGAATGATCAATGTTCGTATAACGTTATATATACTTTTTTTTCACTATCAGTTCCACAGTCGAGTATTCTCTGGCGCATAAAGTTCGCACGCGTTCCATGCCGGTCGACTCGTTGAAGTGTATTCGTGAAATCGGCGTGATGTTGAGAGCATTGAATTTCTCTTTGATCGATTTGTACAATTTATTTCCACGGCCGTCGCACATTGTCTCGGGCATCAGTACCTTAATGGTAAACAAAAAATTGCGGCAGATGAATATTTTTTATTAAATATCGTTTCTTCTTTCAAATAAATAATCTCTTCTTTTTTATTAGTTTAAATCTGCTCATTGAAAAAATTATAAAATATTTATAACATGTTTATAAAATCAGTAAAATGATTAAAAGCTTATATATGTATGTCTTCTTGTTGTATCGTCATTTATTAAATTTAAAATTATTTCAAGTTTATTGTTAATATAACAAGTTGTGGCGCGATAAAATTAAATCTTTTCGAAAGAGTTTTAAATATTTTTTATTAAAAAATAGTATATTTGATTCTTATATTGCAAAATTTATTTCTATATTATATAATTATAAATTGTATTTTTATCATATATATAAGATGAAAAGGCAAAATCATTTAACAATATAATAGAGTAGCAAAATAACAAATATAATGCAGTAGTAAAACAAATTTATTGATAACAATAATGCTTACTTCTACTGGGTCGAGCATGTTAATTTTCGTCAAGGTATTCTCATATGTTTGGCAATCGCTGATTTGAAAGAGGATCAAGTACGGATATTGAAGATCTATCGCTGCCAAGCCGACTTCGTTCCTGGCATCTCCTCGACCAGCTGTTAACGCTATCAGAAATACACATCCGTGAATACAAAACAGAGAATGCCTTTTATTGCTCAACTTTTGCTCACCGATCATCACCCAAGAATCCGCGTTGCTGGATGTGCCATACGGCGTCGATTTCGGATTGTACGACCTAATAGATATCGAGAAATTATATATCTTTTATAACGATGCAAAAGCGCGTGGGAATGATATTAGAAATAAAATTGTATAGATTGCTTTTAGAAACTGGATTGGATCAAATAGTTAATGATGCCTAGCTTTCTATGACGATTTCACCTGGGAAATAAAATTGCGTTTGTTTCAGTGGATCGAAAAAAATTAATAACTAATATCAAATGTATTTATTTATTCCGTATATATTCTAACAAGATTTTAGAATTATTTTATAAGGAGAGGGAAGATTCGCAGACACTCACCTTCCACTGTAATGAGACGTGCTCGGCAGGTGCGATGACGTAGAGACGTAATTTTCTCTGCGATTGTATCTCGGCGTTTTTGTACTGGAGTTCGCGGCTCCGAAACTCAGAAAGCCGGAATTGAATTCTACTTCCGAGAATGGAGCGCGAGAGCGTAAAACAAAGGATATAACCAAGAGTGTGAAGAGAATCAATTGTTTCGTTAATAAAAACGGGTGAAAATACGCTGATCGAACTTCATTGTTAAAAATTGTGAATAGCGATAGTCCTTTTACTTATTTTCTATCTTGAATTCGCGCGTTTAGATAGATAAATATTGTATCTTGCAAATGTATACTCAAACTCGACAAAATTAATTGCGCTTTTTTCTTTTATTTTAATGTTATGAAAATTTTATACAAATATTTTAGGTACCATTATGGTGCCAAACCTCCCCTTTAAGTCTATGTCTTTTAAAATTATATATTGTAAATTATTATTAAATTACATATTGTAAATTTTAAAATTATATTGTAAAATGTTCTGACTGAATTAATTGTAAAAAAACAGAAATGCAAACTTGTGCAATTCTTGTACGGGGTCACTTACGATATTTCGGAAAGAGGTTTGTAACGCGCTGCGCATTCGGTATAACTCTTCCTCTCGCGAAAGCGCGTCCTCTTCTCGGTGGACCGACCTGTGTTACATTCATTTTTTTTTTTTATAGAACGAATAAGTATTTGCAATTTGACAACAATCTTGCTGCTCCGTTCAAACGCAACAGTATCGTTTAGGTTTAGAATACTCTAAAAAAATGGGTCACGTGACGTCCTGCTGTTTGAAGTTTGATTCAATTCAGAGAGTCAGGGATACAAACACACGCGCGTTCAAATACCTCTCGTAGTAATATATTTATTTACAATCTTGTTGTCAATGTGTGTGTTCTCTTACGCACATTTACATTGGGATTAATAATAAATAACACGATCACAATCACTATTCTTTCCGAAATAAATATCGCTCTTTGTCTCGTCGTTCCTTAGAATTTAGTTTACATTTGTATTTACAAGCATCTCAATAATGAAATCGATTGTCTCTGCTACTTTAGATTCCTCCATTTTCGCGCCACAGCAACTATATATATACAATATATATTTTATATATATAGTTTATGTGTAAAAATTTATTATCTACAGAATCGCACCTCGAAACAATATATAACGCATAATGTATATAGAATACATGCGATTTAGCGCGCTAAATTTTGCTCGATAGCTGTATATATATTTATACATTAATCTTTCAAAACACATATAAAATCAACGTGAAATATATTGCGCCGATCCCGCGAGAGAGAATATCAATCTTTTATATTAATAGTATATTAATAGTAAATTAATCGCAATTAGTATGTATTTCTATGTATATGTATCGCACGGTTTTTTCCTTCCCGTGGATTTGCAACCGCAAGTTTTAATTTCCGGTTTGATCAGATCTGCGGTGCCTGATATTCTCGCTTATCGGTAAGCTTTAACGTAACCACATTAACCGCTAAGACGCAAATTACAAGAGCAAGCAGAAGCAAAGAGAGAGTTTCGCGAATACAAATAATAACATTAATTAATTACGCATAATAAAAGACTCACAACAAGCGTTTGAGAGAGAATATCTTCAATTATTATAATTATTATATCATTTACGATATATCATTTTACAGCGATGCGCAAAGAAAGGGCACAATTACGGGAAATTTTGCCGATCTAGGAAGAAAACAGGATCCTATCTCTATCTCCCCCTACCCCCGATATATCATTTTATCATCTACTTTAGATACGGAAAAAGTTTCTCACTTATACGAGAGGCACCGAATATACATATATATATATTATTAATTAACGGCACCGCGTTTTATCCTTTCACCTTATCGCGATTAAAATTTACAATATGCCGCAACAGTAGTCTTAAAACGATGATCGTTAATTATGATATTGATCACAATGCACATACAAAATGCGCATGCGCGCATACATACACCGATAGTTACGCGAGATCGATCGAGATTTATCACATCGTGGACTTTTCATTTCGGAGAGTAGTTTTGCAGTAGTAAAAAATTTTCTTAAACCTATGAATGCTACCTTTCGAAGAACTTTCAAATGCGCCGATCGCTCGCGCGACGACGATTAATAAAATTGTTAAGAAACGCTTGTTAAAACGCACAACTCTTTTGTCTCTTTTCTTTTTTTTTTCTATCTCTAGCGCACACGTCTGTGTTAAAAAATAATACATTTGTCGCACGCACAAGGATCGAGCAAGTATCGCACGCGCGCAAAGAATATCCGCGCGACGATGTAAAGTTATTATTAAAATATAAATTTAAAGACAGACTATATATATATATATATATATATATATATATATATATATATATATATATATATATATATATATATATAGAGTTACCTTACTGGATATTTAATATTCGATTCTTAAATATATGTTTTTTTTTCGCATTATACATATATCTTATGTACAAAAAATGTCACGATCACAAATCACATGTATGATAATACGTATATAATTGACACGATGCAAATACCACATGCAATTAAAATCGCTAAAATAACTTTCTTACGTTTCTTCAGTGCCAATCTCTCGGCACTTGCTATTTCCGTTATTAGATCGATAAAGATTGTTTCCTTGCATCTGTTTTTTCCTCTAAAAGAGAGAATCTAATCCAGAGCAATTTTCATTGCATTGCACATTAATCTAACTCGATGGTAAAAAAAAGATCGCTGTATAGAAGACGATAAGTGTATCTATAGCGTTTCGTCATATTCGATTCATTCCAATTGTAAAACAAATTGTCGATAATTCACGATTCATAGAGTGATGGCTCTTTGGCACGTTGGCGAGTGACAATCGATGAATCATGTCGGCAAATGAGAATTGAAAAATCATTATCGAGTTATTCTTATAGAATATGAGATATAAATTTGATATGACTCGGGGATATAATAATATAAATCGGTACAGAGATATTAAAAATGAGACGGCAGGTATAGCAATACGGCGCTGAATATTCAGAGGTGAATGAAAAATGTAGAGTAAAGTTATTCGAATGTATATTATACGTGGCTCTCGAGGGGCACCTTGAAGACCTTGGACGCGATATTCGCGTCCGGCAATGACTGCGGCCGCGCGGCGTTGGTCACGTTGAAGACGACGTTGCTGGGTCCGCGAAAGCTCACCTCGATCAAGAAGCTCGTGTCGGCCATGCCGACGCGATTGGCGCTCAGATCGGGCGAGCTGGTCCTGAGCTGGCTCTTCTTCGGTCTGTAATCGCTCTTTATGATCCTCTCGGCCTCGGACTGCAGCTTATTATCGAGCCAGTGCACCTTGTCAAAGTCCTTGGTCCCGCCGACCGTGTGTCTCCGTTTGATCGAGCGCTCCGACATCCCGTTCTTCCGCTTCAGCTTCGTGGCGCTCTCCTTCCGCACCGATTGTCGCCGCTTGCTGATGTTGCACTCGGTCTTCTCGGTCTTGGTCAGCGACTCCGAGCGCTTCAGCCTACTGCCCGGCGATTCCGATCTGTCACCGGAGTGTTTATTCAGACTCTCGGACCGTTTGAGCAACAACGGTCTCTCGGTCGAGTGTTTATTCAGACTTTCCGACCTTTTTAATCGGGAGCAAGCGTTCTCCGACGTTCTCTTGTTCAACGACTCCGATCGTTTCAGGCGGGATCTCACCTCGGAGCTCGTCAGGCTCTCAAATTTTTTCAACTTGTTGGAATAACTGGAATCTCCGGAATGAGGACCCTTGGCGTCCAGATTCGCGTCGACCTCGTTGTTCTCCGAGCATCTGCTGCTACCCTCGTGAAGACTCTTCTCGCTCGCCGATTTGTAACGCCTTGGATTTCCCGCGCGCAAATAATTTCCCTCCTCGGACGCATCCCTCCGATCGTCCTCGTCCTTCTCGCTCGAATCCGCAATTTTCTCCGTGGCGTGATTCGCGTCCGGCCTCTGCTTGTCGTTATTCGGCGTCATCGATTCCGAAGAATGCAGCGTGTCCTCGGTCACCGTAGAATCGGTGTCCTTCTCAGGAGCGTCCTGCGATCAATCCAGAGATAAGCGATGACATTTCGTCATTCATTATAAGGAATTATTCAATAATTACATTAGTGTTTTGTTATCTACATCGATACGTTTGGATTCATGTACAAAATATGACGTCCTCTAATAAGCTATGTAAATTAAAGATTCTTATCCCAGACGTTTCGTATTCATATATTCTCTGACAACATCAACAGCTTCAAGTGTACGAGAGATTTTATCCATGTAATATAATTCGTTTTGAAGATACAAGGCGATGAAAATTTACAAGAAATACAATATTTTTACTACATTAAATATTACATGTAAAGCTTATTAATCTACATACACGAATCTAATCTTCTGGCATCATATCATATCGTATCATCCTATATCTTTGAAACAAAGCAATTTTCGGAGGTATAAATTTTCATAAGATGACCTAAGAAATCATCCCTTGAAATTTTTGACGTATGTTTCAGAAACATCCTATATAATATTAAGACACTCACGTCCTTCGGACGGGAGATGTGACACTTGTCGAGTGATTTGTGAAGGCTGGGGTCGCGATAGGCTTCCGTGGATGGATATCGGAATCTCGGGGATGCGCTCGACTTTAGCTCCCGTTCCACGGAGACGTCGTCCTTGTTGCGGCCCGCGAATTCTGGAGGAGGTTGCTGCGCCTGGGTCGACGATTGATTGACGAGGGACCTCCATTTGCGATCGAACGTGGTCGTGAGGCTGGTTAGAAGGTCGCTACCTGCAAGATTTCCATTCTGCGTTAGCGAGGATGCACGAGAACTCGCGCGAAGACACACACGAGACGCACAAAAACTTGTACAAGGTACCAATAAAATAAAAAGAGACACTCAAAGCACCGCGAATTGTGTTATTTGCTCGTTATTGTAACAATTTGTGATAACAATGCGAGATTACTATATAAAGAAGATGAACGAAAATGTGTAATTCAATGCGTTTTTCTTTTCTTTTCGCAGCTGGTGACGTAATCTTGCGTGAGTGCATTCCTGCAAAAATAAAATCGTCGCGCAAATCGCAGATTGCAGTCAGTTAGGAGTATAATATAATCCATAACAATGATGATGAGCGCGATTATCGCAGAAGAATTAATCGATATGTTATTGTATCTTCGTTCTTATCAGAGAGCTTATCGTCGTAATCGCCGTAGTTTTCACTGTCTTTACTATCGTCGTTGTTAATAAAAGTTGTCATTGTTTCGCCAGCTGTATACATTACAATTGCAATAACAAGATCATCAGCAATGTCTTCTTTCTTGCGCTGAAGCGTGGTAGGAAAAAAAAACTAAAATATCCTTAGATGTAAAAAAAAAAAAAAAACGTCAATTGTACAAAAATCTCTACAAAAGCGGCACATAAATAATACTAAATTACTAAAATAAAGCTAAAAATATTTTAAAAACCTTATACCTAAAAAATACTAAAAAAACATTTAACTAATAACCTAAGTCGAAAAAACAAAAGTTAGAATCGCCGAGTAACTAATTCGATTAATGCTGCTTTACAACAGAGAAAGAGAAGATATGATATATTTCTGTGAAAATATGTTTCATCCGAAAGATGCTGCATCGTATAACAATTTCGCCATCGGTAAACGACATTAGAAGATTTATCGATACACGTTCAACAAACGTTCGTGCGGAAAATTGCTGAGAAAGACAACACGAAGAAGAAACGCTAAAATGATCATCTTTCCCTCTTGGAAAACGAGGTATAGAAAAAGAAAAAAAAGTCGGAGAATGCAGCCCCCGGCGTTATTTGCGCGTGTAAAAGCCAGACTCGGGACTTCAAGATTCTCCTCGGATGACGATGATACATGTAAGAGAAATATATAACGCGCGATCAGTTGGTTCGCGCGTTGCGAAAGACGTGACATGACGTGGACGAATGTTAGTCGAAGGGAAAAGAAAAAAGTAAACGACAAACACAACGCGTGTAACGTGCTTAGTGGCATGTATAAAATAAAAAAGAGCGTGTGTAATAAAAGCCATTCGGTTTGAGCCAGCCAGCTAGCTGAGTCAGCTCGTCGGGCATCGTCGGATGCTGGAGAAGGCTCGGAATCCGCCAGATTTCTGGTCTGGCGAGAGAGCCTGGGATTTACCTCGGAGGAATCGGTTCAAAGTCTTGGATGCGGCGGATGATTCGCCTGACGATCGCGCGTCGTCTCCTGCGCACGTTGATGGCGATGATGATGGGGCAGCTGTAGACGCGACAGCAGTTGCCAGCGATGCTGCGGCTGTTGCTGCTGCTGCTGCTGTTGTTGCTGATGATGCTGCAGAGACTGCCGTTGCTGCTGCTCCTGTTGCTGCTGATGCTCCCGTTGTTGTTGCTGCTGCTGTTGCTGCGGATGCTCCCGTTGCTGCTGCTGCTGCTGCTCTTGTTGACATTGACACGGGGATGGACACTGGCATCGAGACAGCTGCGACCGGCACTGGCATCGACATTGGCGACTGGGCCGGCGTCTTCGGGGCGGCGGCGCTACCGGGACCTGCGGTACCGTATAGGTGGGACGATATGTACCACCAAAAACCCGGGCTCGCTGTGTGCCTACACGTGGTATCCAACCATTTCGTACCGTCATTCATTCGTCATCGTTTGTCATCAGTGTTCATCATGCGGCCGGCGCGGCGGAGCACAACTCTCTCTTTCTCGTCTTCCTCACGTCTTCCTCCTTTGCGTCTGGACCCACCGTATCTCTCTTTCTCTTTCTCCGTCTTTCTCTTTTTTTTCGTTCTCTTTTATTCGAGTACTCTACTTATTCTATATTCTCTCTCGAACCGATCAGCCCACCGATTATATTAAACGAAAGTATAGATATATATTGATATCGCCCGACAGAGAGAAACTGAAGAGACGTGACGAAAGGAAAGAAAATAAAATGAAAGAAAAAAGAGAAGAAGAGCGGGGAGAAACGAATTTTCAAGATCGACATCGAGTATCTCAGCTCGTGCGAGATCGATCAAACGCGCGAAGGATTGACCGATCCTGTCCGAGGATTCTCGGAAGAAAACATTTATATTCGTATTCCTTTCGGGCGTGTCTGATCGCAAAGACGTAGACTGAGGCGGCAGAGCAATCAATTTTACGTAATTAAAAAAAGACCACAAGATTAATCGGCAGTAGAGGCGATCTCGTTATTAAAGAACAGGCAGGCAAGACGAGCAATCAGACAAGTGTAATTTCGGCGATGCACACGTGTGTGACAAGAAAGTGCGAAAACTAGTACTTCCAGACTAACAGCAAGAGCCCCATCGAAACATTGCTTACGATGGTTGTGAAAAAAAGAAAAGAAAAAGAAGAATCAACTTCAAACTTATTGTTAAAAAAAAAGAAAAAAAAATCGCAACCATGACACGAGACGTGTGTGTTTGCGAAAGTGATTTCTCTAAAGAAATTTTATATCATCTTCGTAAAGGCAAGCAGTGGCTGAAGAATCCAACGCTCACGATAGATCCTCGAAGACATGCAAGCGACGAGAAAGATTTATCCGATTTAGTCGACGTCAAAAGGATGCTTGGAATACTTTTTTTAAATTTTTTAGAAGCATCCGAAATGTCCAGTAAGAGATCTAGCTTTTCCAGGAAGTCATTGTTAATTCTCAGAAAACATTCTCTTATTAGATATTGGATGCGTATAAAAAAAAAAAAAAAAAAAAAAAAAAAAAAAAGTCTAGACCTTTTTGACGTCGACCAATGATTACAGGGAAAAGTCGCCGAAGAAGCAGCCAATCTGTGTGAAATACATTTGCTCTTCTTAACGAAAGCCAAAGACTTGGCGCATGCAGCACATGAAAACAATATAAAAATAGAGGATCGGTCCCAAAAAAAGACACCGTATATATAACTCTGAAATATATAGACATGTATTTTTTCTTCTATTTCATCTCTTTCACTTTGTGACCGATCCTCCTTGCGTTTGATCGTAAATACGAGATATAGTATCTTCTAAAATTAAATCTGCTTTCATTGCAAGAAGCCTCGTGTGTCTCGTGGACGTGTTTGCACTAAAGTCGACTATGCACCGCGTAACGAATAAATAATGTTGCGAACGCAAGGAAAAAAATAAAAATTTCCGAGCAATGACGTATGTAACTTCGTAACATACAATTAAAAAATCGTACCGATGATATTCGAAGAAAGAAGAAAAAAAATAAAGAAGAAATCGCTGGAAGCAAATAAGAAGGAGGAATGTACCTAGAAAGCTTTTTGTTAATAGTGAGTATCTTCTGTGTCCACTGCAGAAAACAAGATCCTGCTACACTCACCGATCGTCAGAAGCGATATTACATAGAGAAAAGATATAAGAGAGGATATGAATAGAGGTATAGATAGATAATACACGTTGTAATTGTACACGTGGACTCACGACGAGGAATACATTCGAATCGCAACACGGTTTTTCTTTTTCAGGAATTACTGAACAAATTCGCGCGAAAACTTCTGAAAGAGTAGCAATCGAATTTGGCTTTCTATTATATCGTCTATTTTTCAGGCAGCTCTTGTATACGTGATTCACGACACGTGTCTAATCTATATCGTATAGATCTGATCCTTTGAACTCTGCGATTGTCAGTGTCAATTATCAATATACAATATCTATCAATAGACAAGAGAATCGCGTATCGTAAAATGCTTCGCATTTTTATCGCAACGTACGACTTTGATGGGACGAAAGATTCGTTTTTGATACCGAGTGCATAAGACGAGACTTGGAATAATGTTAATTCGCGAAGATGGAAGTACGAAGAAATGGAATACTAACCATCGTCCGAGCCATCGCCGGGAATGCCTCGCTGTTGCTGCGACGGTGACGGAGAGGACTGCGAGAGATTGTGAACCTCGTGCAAGGAATCCAGACTGCCGTAGCGAACTGGTGGTAGACAGATCGACTCCGTCGATGGCTATAAATGTTAATAAATCCATAAGCAAGGGACAATAATTATCATATTTTATTATCAGAATTATAATTCATCGAATTATAATTTTGATATAATTTTAAATATGATATTATTAAATATGATAATTAAATATGATATTATTAAATATAATGATTAAATATATTAAATATATTAATTAAATATAATAATTATAATTCATTGGATTATAATTCTGATAATTAAATATGATATTATTAAATATGATGATTAAATATGATATCAAATATAATGATTAAATATGGTATAATTAAATATAATAATTATAATTCATTGGATTATAATTCTGATAATTATTAGACGGAAAATGAATAAACTTTTGCTTTACTTATTGTTCGAATTAACTTACTTCCTTGTCCGTCTTGAACTTCTTAATGACACCATTATTCATCTTCTCTCCCAACACGCTAGTCAGTTGATTAGTCGCTTGTGCTTTCTGGTGTATCGTGGATTGTTGTTGCACGGCTATGGACAGCGGTGGCCTCGTAGTCGATCGCGATCTGGTTTGCGATCTTTCAGACAAGTCCAGCAACGTGTCATCGGGGAGCCTCTCGTTCAGACTGGACAGACGTTGCGAGAGCAGACTCGGCGACACCGTCGTGTCGACTATACTGTCGAGCAGATCATCGTTCTCCATCTCTCGTTTCGCCAACTGCCACTCTATCTCGATCCTTCGTTTCTCCTCCTCCCGCTTCTCCGCTTCGAGCCGCTGTCGATGTTGATCCCTCTGCAACATCGCCTTCGTCTCCTCCTCGAATCGCCGCACTCTCTCCTGCGTGGTCGCGCTCAAACCGGCGTACGTCAGGATCGCTATCTCGTCGTTGCTCTGCCTCGTCTGATTAGATCCGCCGGATGCGGTGGAGCTCGTATCCCCCGAACTTGGACCAGTCTCGCTCGACAATCTCGAAGAGTCCACGGACGGCGGTGCGGAAATCGCGTACTTGGAACGATTCGGAGACGCGTTCGACGAACCGATGATAGCATTAGAGTCAACCGACAGGGCACGATCCGTAGAATGATTCGACTGCTGATTCTTGCTCTCATGCATCTGGACGATTTCGCTGACGGAACACTGGCGTTCGTTCAAGGCCATGCTCTGCCGAATCGTCGGCAAACTCTCCGACTCTTGCTTTGATTTGGCCTAGATTAGTACAAAAGTTTCATTTTAATATATCCAATATATTTAATGTATCTAGACACATGAAGATAGATGAAAAAGTTAGGATCAGTAACTCACCTTATCGCCCTCGTGTTCACCGTCGATTTCGTCCTGAGTCTTTCGCCTTCTTTGGATCTTCTTATTAGCTGCAGATATGATTGATGATACAATGTCCCTAGCGGATGCCATGTCGCGTATACCTGTTTTATCGTGATAAAGGATATATAAATGCATTGCTATTACAAATAAAATAGTAAGCTTAACTATTTTCTGTCAAAAGCCTCAACAAATGTCAGAGTAATGAGATAAAAAAGAATGCACTTGAAATTAAATATGTAAAGAATAAAAAATGCGAGGAATAAAGGAATATGAAATAAAGATTGTAAATATAACAAGTACCCTCGACTTTCTGAATGTTGTTCAACAGAAGATTGTGATTGGATATCGGTTCAACTTCACAACTGTCGGTTGGAAGGCTTAAATTTACGCTCAATCTGCTCAAGTCGTCCAGATCGTCATCCGAGAAGAACCAATCGACCTGAAACACATCAAACTGAGACTGTCAAGTATCTTGACAAGAATAAAACGTTCTTTCCTTTTTTTAGCACAAAAGAAACTTACGTTATTCAACAGACTCTCGACTATTCTACACTGATGCGACATATCGGTAACCATGGTGACCATATTGTCTCTGGAACCGCTCGCTCGCACCAACGTTGGTCCAAAAACGATGGCTAGATTTTTAGCCTCCATTTTATTGATCTCGCTGTGATCGACTATTTTCTTGAGATGTTGCATCAGATACTTTAGCGTCTCAAAATGATGCTCCGGAAGATCCCGCAGTAGTTTTCGTATCGTGGTCATCCGTCTCTGTGGATCCTCTATCTTATCGGCATCGATGAACATGGGATACAGCTCTGCCGTGAGCAGGGAATCGGGAAGTTGACGGAAGAACGACTTCAACAACGACGATATAACGTTGACGTCGCTCCATCTCGAATCCTGCGTGCGGGAGAAAACAAATTATGAACAGGATCTTCGCAAAATAAGCGATCTCAACATTATACGGAATACTACCTGGAAATTAATGTTCTCGAATCCTCTGTTGACGCTGTCTGTGAGCTGAGAAATCGCGGCCGTGTTTCCGGGCACTCTGTAGATCCCCACGACCTCGAGGCCTCTCGCCTCAACGATGCTCGTGCACATCTCGACGATTAATGGCACGCATTCGGAGAACGAGGACGGCGGACACAGCTCCAGAGGTACCTTGAAGGTGGCCCCTTCGGGCGGCAATTGCGCCGTGGGCGAGGAAGGCGCACCGCCGGCTTGACCGTGCATCCTCCTGAACTGCTTTGCCATCCTCCCCTTCCAAGTCTTCGACTTGGGCGACGCTAAAGGTTCCAGAGTCTGATTACTCGGCTTGCGGGTCTTGTTGACGGGCGATTGTCCTGTCGGCGATCGGTTCCTGAACGATGTTAGCTTCTTGATGCCCTTGTGGCTCGGCAGAGGGCTCAAACGTTGACCATTGTTCGGAGAAACGCCGCCGCTTGGAGTCATCGAACCTGTCGGAGTCTGCGGTACGGCCTGTTGTTTCAACGTGCAGGACACAGCATCCTGTTTTGATAAACGTTTCTCATGAGAGATGTATAGGGGACTTGACGATTGCAAAAATCATGAAACGAGAGTGACGGAGAAGGCAATTGCGCTTTCATCCGAAAGAAAAATTATCTCATAATTAGCGCTCACCGATGATCTTTCCGCGGCGGCGTGAGAATGAAGTGACCTTAACCAGAGCGCCATGGATGCCGCGTCCTCGGTCTGTAGAAGGACCTCCGCCGTAGGATTCGCAACTCGTAACACGTGTTTCCGCTTTGTGTAGTCCTCGGCGACGTCCACGACGGAACACCTAACGTCGACGCTTTGCCCGGCATTTCCCTCATTATCGGTGCTCAACGAAGGACTCTGTAAGATTAATAATGTATCAATACAATTGTTTTTTTCGTATTTGGCAAATAAAATTTTCTTTAAATGCTCTCCTCACCTGACTATGACGATCCTTGTAAAAATATATTATAGGACCACGGAGGACACCCCAGACCTGCTTCCAGGAACGATCGGTAGATCGCTAAAATTATAATATGAATGATGAACATGAAAGATGAATTTATGTGCGTTCAACTGAATTCTTTCATCTCCTCACCTTGCCATCGAGCACTGTGAATTTTACGTGAAGGGTCCCCTCTCGTTCTACCGGTTCGATGTCCTTCGCGTCGCAGCTGTTTGGTGTGCTATGCGATACAACGATACTGTTGCTGAAAAAGAAAGAGCTGTGTTCAAATCTGCGTTGTTTGCAAACTTTATACATACATGTATATACACATAACGAAATTATCATATCAATTCAATGTTGTATAGAGAAAAATTGATTAATCTCCGAAACGTCTACAACATTTGTAAAGATTAAAACTCTACGCGATTTTATTAATCCATTTTTCTCTAATAATATTGATGTAAATCAAGACGATAATTTCAAGTGCTCCATTCTGTATATATAAATCTAGACAATATATAGCGATGCCATCTATAATTTCCAAGACAGCGGAATTTTATCGTGGTACTATTCACAACTACACTTCTATATTCTCGCCCTTCTCCTAAATCGAGAATGACATTGAAAATAGCGGTCACATCGATCGTCGGCTTGTATTAGTCTCATTCCGTTAGTAACAATCAGCCAATAAATCAGTATCCGAAAGGATACGTTAAGATACACTAACACATATCTATCTATAGCGTCAGGAAGATTCTAGAGTAGCACAACATAGACGACCACAGTAACTGGTTTTAATATCAGAGCCACAAACATAGGGATGTGTTACATTCCATGTGTCCTCGACATCACGGACGTCTCTTATCTTCAATAGGAATAATAAACAAGAAAAGGATATCCTTATCTAATGCCACTCGAGCAACTAACGTATAGGGATTGCCAAATATACTCAGTTTCTACCATCATTGGGGAAAAAACTATCGGCTCTCCTATCTCGCGCTATATTTTTCGTACAATTTTCTTAATTTTTTATTGAAATATGTTTAGTTTTTTCCCTATTTAAGCAATATCTTTCTTTTAATGTCTCTAAATTTTCTAGTTCTGGGAATATTTATATTTCTCTCAAATAATTTGTTTTACTCAATATTTAGATACTCAGAAAACAAGTGCACGTTCGTGCTTTACTTTCAAATTGAAAAATCTATCGTGATAATAATGAGACGAGGAGAAAAGTCGAGAGACGATACACAAGAAAAATCATCATTGCATCGCGATTCGTTTCATCAGGCAGATAAGAAGCGCAAACGTCAATACAGAGACGAAGATGAGAGCGGATGTACATTAGCTTGGAGGAAGAGAAACGCGGAGAGTATAGACAATGCATTCTTATTCCCGTGCTTGTTTTTTTCTTTCAAAAAGGAACTCTTTCGCCCTCACCGATGATGAGAGTTTCGATGTAAGGACGCGGCCTGCGTCATATCCTCAAAGATGCGTCGAAGGGGGGTAATGTCGCTCGGAAATAACGGCGGCCGCCATCGTCTATGTGCACTGGAAACATGGACACGAATACACGGGTGCAGAGTTGATTATACTTACACGGCGTGTAAACACCTTCGACAGCGAAATTACTCGCGAGAGAGTGCTCGTCGTTATTTTCACGAGCGAACGCGAGAGATAAGCGAGGAGAAATATAAATTGTGCGTCATCGATAATATCTCGCTGATGTGTTCAAGAGAAGAGATGGAAAAAAAATATCCGTGACTTTGACAGTCGCACGCGCTAACGTCACACCTCGAGATGTCAGACTCGAGACGAAAGATTATATTCACCTCCTGTGAATGAGAACGGGTTCCGAGTCGCTGAGCTCTAGATCGCTGTCCACGTGCATTCGTTCGCCCCACGTCGCCTTCAGATACGAGACCCGTCTGGTGGCGCGATCCTCGTCAGCTGTTAAATAATTTATTTTAATATTAGTTTTCTATTTTAATATTAATTTTATTAATTCAATTATCGCCAAGTACAGTTTATCAACAGCTACAGATGAAAAACTTAATTTTTGTTTGCCGGTTTTACTTCACTTAACTCTACCAGGCTGTTTAAAGTTTCAAATTTATATTAAATACAATTGTATTAAATTATATTAGATAAATGTATACACTCTCTCGGGATCAAGCTTATCTTTCTAAACTAATTTAAGTAGTAAATTAATTTAAAAAAAAATAAAATAAAAAAGAATATAGAAATGTAATTACTCTAGGGGATCATAATTATCTTTTCAAAATAAAGTACTAAATTAATTTGAAAAAAGTAACATTTAGCGCTGTGTGTACAGTACCATTACAATTCAAGGTATTAAAACCCGCGTACAGGAAGAAAGTATACCCATAGAAAGAAGATTCTAGAAATGCCCTTATAACTTCATCGTACTAGACGCGTGCGTCGCAATAATTGTGTGCACGTAACGTTAAAAATATCCTCATCGCGTTTAAACTCACTGATCTGTGCATTCTTCTGTCGCCTGAGCACTACGGCATTATTGGTCGAGCCGTTGGGCGAAGAACCATTGACCGGCGCTGAAAGAGAAATCAATGGGACGATTATTAACGCTTTATGCTCGACCTTTATGCGACGTGTGTGTATGTGTGCACGTGGATGTACACAACGATGTGTACATATATATATATATATATATATATATATATATATATATATATATATATATATATATACATATATATAATATGTAAATACAAACGGCGATGAAGAAAAAGCGGACTAACCGACTTGCAGCAGTTTGGCCGATTGCAAATAATCTTGTTTGCAATAGGCGGTTTTATCGTCGTCCTCGATGCTACCTTCCTCCTCGGCGGTCTGCCACGTGTGCCTGGCGCTGCTTCGCGCCGCTGGACCATTCGTAGCTTCCCAGGATTCCGCGCTGTTGCTGCGTGCTCTCAAACGCACTGATTCTGCCTCCATAGTAGGCATGTCTACATGAAGAACATCAGTACAATTTATATTATTTGTTATATTTATTATATGTATTTTACAAACCTCCCTTCCCCCGAGATTAATCCGGTTTTGTTAAAATAATTATCGCTTGCGAAAGTAGAATATATATGTAGCGTGCGGTTGTTGTCGCTATAGAAGAAGCGCCGGCAGATGTGTCGTTGCTATTTTGAATTACCGCGACGACATGTCATAAGAAGCTCAGCAACAAAAACAACACGGGTGCATGGGGGCAGTTAATATCCCCTTTGTGCTATCGACAAATTCCGGTACACTATAACTTTATCCGGTTACTCTCGCTTGGAAGCAAGCTCGAACAAATCGCGTGTCCCTTGCAGATGCGGTGAATATTTCACTCCAAGAATTAATTTCAAAAATTTACTTGCATCATTACTTAATTTATTAAGATAAAAATCTAGGTTTCTATATTTTAGTTGAGCCGTGAGAAGCGAGAAAATAAGAATAGATGTGCATTAATATTATTATATCATATCTAATGTATATATGTATAAAATTGTTAAATAAACACACATACTATACTATAATATATATAATATACTATGTGGGTATATATAGTGCATAAACGTATATGACGAGTTATAAACGCTATATCGCGACATCGCGTTCACATAGAATGCACAACGAATCACCGACAACACAATAGCGGCACAAGACGACAATGCACAGACAACTTGTGACACAGTTTCTTAATTCTATCTACCTTTACTCTCTCTATAGTCGGCCGGTGGCTCACAATGGATATGTTTGCTGCCTATAGGAATTATTCTGTTGCCTGTCAATACTGGACCTAAACGACGACACTTGTTTACTGAGCATTGATCTAAGGCGACTTGATTTCTAATTATAATCGCGAGATATTACAGTTCGAAGCATCGACTAATCGTACTTTGATATTAGATTGGCGCAAAATATTTTGATTTTATTGTAAATTCAACTCTGTTTAATCTTGCGCGCCACTTAAATAAATCAAGAGAATAATTCTTCAAACTATTCCTAATCGACGCTTACCAGTGTCCAGAGACTTGGTCTCTCTGGCCGGCATTCTCCTTGTTTCTTGACTTTCGGCTTTGGACTCGAATTCACGTTTCCGCACAGCCACATTCGGCACGCTCCTCTTGTTGGACAATCGGGACAGCTCGCTCTTGTAAAGATTCGTCCGATCGCCAGCGGGCTCGTCCTCGTCGCTCAGCAGACGACCGGACTCAAATTGCTTGGCTCGTCTCGAGACGATCTGCAGACCCTGCGGCGGCACCGGAAACTTGGTCTCACCGGCCTTCTTGTCCGGCCCCGGCGAAGACGGCAGCGAGGCAGAGCCGTTTCTCGTCTCTTGCAAAGTCTGTTGCTGACTTGCACTAACGTTCTCGTGTATCCTGGAGAGGATGCTGACGAAACTGTTCTTGCCTCGATACTCCTTCACGAGCTCGTTGTCATAAGGCGATGACGAGTAAGAGTGATCCCCGGATTGATTGATCTCCCCGAGCTGTTGATCGCCTCGCGACTTGGAGTACTCGGAATTGGAGTCTACGTCCTTTATCCTCTGTACGCTCTGATTCGACGGCTTGTTCATCAGACTCGCGACGGACTTGACAGGAACGCTCCTCTCTAGAGAGGATCTTCTCGTGGGTGACTGCTGTCTCTGCTCGTTCTGACCGGGTGGCCAGACCGGTCTCTGCAGTTTTTGCGGCCTCGCGTAGAACTCTCTCTGAATCACCGAGGCTTGGTTGAAGTTCTGCTGCAACGGTGGCAGCGGCTCGGTGTAGCCAATCGGGTAACTCGGTCGCCGCAGAAATTCCTCCTTCTGCTCGAAGCTCTTGCGCAATCTAGTCATAATGACAGAATCGTCGGTGCACTCGTTGCCGGTCAGAGTTGAATTAGAATCGTAAGGGGACGTGCTGCTGTCCTTGCTGGTGGCCGACGAGGAGTCCCGTCTCGACTCGATGCTCAATCTGCTGGACTCGTTCGATCTCAGCGCGTTGATGCTGCCGCAGCTCGCCGTCTCAGAGTCATTCGTGGTCCCGCTGCCTTCGCTCGAGCGTCGCGCTATCATCCGCTTGGCCGGCCGGTAGATCGGCACCTGCGGCTCCGCCTGCGACATCGCGTAATGCAGCAGGGACGGCTGCTGATAGTAATGCGACGGATAGTGCTCGCTGACGCGTACCCGCTCGTAAATCGGATCGTTGATCCTGTCGTAGAGCTGTTCGTTGCTCGGTCGCGAGTACACCGACTCGGGCCGTGTCCTGTCGTACAGATCGTATCTGGAATCCTGAGACGAGCGGCTCGATTGCGAGTTATCCTCGTACAGCAACTGCAGTTTCCTCCCCGGGATTCTGGTATCCTCCGAGGAATCGTACAGCGCATCCGCCACGCCTTTCCGCTGCACGCTCGTCATCTGAGATTCCGCGATCGGTTGAATCGTCGTCGGCGGCATCCTGCCGTCCGGGTACGCGGCCTGCTGACTCCTGCACACTGCCTCCTCGAGATGACTCGGACTCTCGGACGACGGGAGAGAACAGACCCAGGACTGCCGCGTTCTCGGCGACGAGCCCGGGATCATGCTGCTGATCGATCTGCGTTGCTTCTGCGATAGTCTCTCCGGGGAACGCAGCCGCGGTCGTTGATTCGTCTCGGGATTATGCGCCGTCTCGCCGAAATACTGCAAGGAATTTTAGAATATATTATTAATTTTATTATAACTCTCGTACAAAAAATCAGAATAACCGGGGCGGAGATTGAAAAACAGCGTGACCTATCGCTGTTATTTAAACCACCAGGTCACATATACGTATCGGTACTCGCGGTCACGTTATTAAACCGCATGAAAAATTAAGTAAAATCGATAATGTCGACAAAAATACAACTCTTCTCCTAAAAACTGATGTTGGAAGAGACTGAGAAGTATTTGACATTTCTCTTGGAACGAAAGATTCAACCAATCCGTATCTTCTTCCCGTCGCTTATTCCTCTCTTGCAGTATCTTACCCTCTGCAGAATGTCGTCCTCCTTGGAGACCACCAGGAGACGCAGCCACGGTCCCGCTTGCTGAATGCGTTGCACCACGCTGACGTACTGCTCGCCCCGGGTGGGTGCCCCGTCCACGGAGACGACGCGGTCGCCTGTTCGTAACCCCGCCTCGGCCGCCGGCGAATTCGGCCGCACTTGCTTCACGAAGATCGTGTCCATAGGCTCGTCGATTTTGGTCCGCTCGTGTCCCGGCAGCATCTGTACGTCCCCGGCACGTCTCGAATTAATATATATATTTCCCCAAATATATATTAATATATATATATAGAGATATATAGAGAGATAGAGAGAACAGATAGAAGATAGGATAAGACAGAGGAGATAAAAGAGATATAAGAGAGGATAGAAGATAGATTAGATAAGATAGGATATATATATTATATAATATAGATATATAATAGGATATAATATATTATAATATATTATATAATATATATTATACATATATATCAATATATATATATATATATATATTGATATATATGTATAATATATATTATATAATATATATTATACATATATGTCAATATATATATATATATATATATATATATATATATATAATATATTGATATATTGGGGAAATTTTTGCTGGCCATCGCACGAGCTACTCACGCAGCAGGACTCGGGCGGATAGACGATGAAGTGCCGGAGCGTGAATCCGTAGCCATTCTCGCTGCGCCTGAGCAGGAGGGTTCGTGGACCACGAGGCGGAGAGTTCTCCTTCTGGACCGACCGGGGAGACGCAGGACCCCCTGGACCAGGACCCGACGAGGGCGCAGGTGGCGGAGGCGACGAGTGCCCGACCTACGATCATGGACACCATCCCCATGAATTTATTCTAACTTCGACATCTTCTTCGGTGGCGGAAGCGCTTGTTTTTATCATTCAAGAAAAGGACCAATTTGTTTTATATTTTTCAGATATATTCCTAAAGTCGAAATGATAAAGAAACGCTTATTTATTAATTAGAGATGGTTTTTTCTTCTTCCAAGGCACACAAATTTGTGTTTCTTGGTTCGCTATCCATTTGACGGACGAGCTAACAATGATTTATACCGAGTCCTTGATTGCTCAATTAGTCGACGATAAGGACACACGAAAATATACGATTGCATCGCATTTTGCGAGGGTGTACGCACGCATGCCCGCGAACGTTAATAACTTTTCGCATCAAACGGCAAACAAACATAGCACAGTCGTGAAATGTTGAAGGCCAGTTTAGGCTCGAATTGCCGAAATAGAAATCCCGAATTTCACTCGCGCGCGGACTCGGGGTATTTGCGGAACATCGATCACCCAGGTTCCCTCTCTCTTTCTCTCTTTAGATTTGTACCGTCTGGGTAGGCATCCTAGAGGAATCGGTGTAACGCGGTAGACAGACTCGTGGAGATCCGCCAAGAATTATTCCAAGCATCGGACTCCGAAGCGGAGGCGGCGGAGCTGGAGAGACGTCTGAGACGTCCTCTCTCCCTCCATCTCTCGCGGAGCAAATTGAGGAAAATTTGGCGAGTCGCCAGGGAACACGCGGCTCGAATTTGCCGTAATGCGCAACCTTAAGACCGGGACCAGCGGAATTTGCGTGCGCATCGCTTGCGGAAGAGCATCACGGAAGTGAGAAGAAAGGATATGGAAGGTAACAATCGAGAGAATTTTTACAGGGATCGAGAGCCTTTCCAGGGAAGAAGCTGATGTCCTTGACAATTCTTCTCAAGCTGAAGATGTATAATCAATTGAGGAGGAAATGCGTAACGCGTCCGTTTCGAATCTAGCTGCATCAGGAAGAGAGCGGGCGAAGTGAAACTCTATCAGAGCTGGACCACAAGAGAGCCGGCAATCTCTCTCGCGGTTTTCCGCGTTATCTAATTTAAACTTTCGATACTCCAGTCAATAAGAGACCCTAGTTCAATAGTTCGATTTACAGGCCTTTCTCACGCGGAGAGAATTTTCTCTTAGAATTTACTCGGAGTCATGCTGGTAATCGTGGGGCAATATAGTAAGTTTCTCTGATTAATATTGACCACAATCAAAAATATTAATATCTACCACAATAAGATATATAATATGTTCGATTAATTTGAAATAAAAAAGCTTAATTATCAATTCATTTTTTTTAAATATAAGATTTTTAATCGTTTTTATATTCGGTTTATTATTTCATTTAACAGATATATCATGAAATGTGATTTACTGTTAAAATTAATTTAATAAATGTATACACGAAGATGAATTTTTTTTTAAATGTAACATTGATATGTACATAGTAAAATGAATCGAACATATTTTATATTTAATTAGTAAGATATTAATATATGTAGATATTAATATATTTTTCCATATCATATTGTCCCATTCTAAGAAAAAATTCTCTCTGTGTAGAATGTGATTTAATGTTTAGAATTAATTGAATAAATCAGACAGAACTATATAAATTTTAATAGTATATTTTTAAATTTGATCCATAATCGCGTATACTAAAAATATATAAACAATGATATATACATTCGCGGAGAAAATCCCGCCCTTAAATCGACAGTTTGATCGCAACTGTTGATTAAAACGAAGTTCGCCGGTAAACAATGTCCATTAATAGCGGCAGATTTGATAAAAGATTCTCAAGAGCGAATATCCGTCGCCCTAACTCGAGCGATATCGGAAATAACATCGCATCCAACGCAAAGGACGAACCGATATAAAACGTTAGGTATAATAAAAGCGTCCGAGCCCTTATGGTCTCGTAAACTCGTTGAGGGCGAGAGAATGGATTCATTAACGTGCTCGCGACCTTGCGTAGCGCTTCCTGTCCCGGGGAGAGAAAGGGAGACATCGCGTGTGTCGTTTTATACCGCGATACGCGACACGGTGACACGCGCGTGTCCGAAGACGTCGTGTAATTATCGAGCCGAGCCGCCGCTCGGTTTGGTGACCCACTTGCAACGCTGACAACGCCTATTCTCTTCTGACCTACATCCTCGGAGCTCGCTCGTCCGCGCGATCCCGTTTTCCCGTCCACGGGAGAGCGCCGCGCAAAAGTCAAGACCGGAAAACTGCGCGGAATCGAAGGGAACGCGAGGAGAGACGCGTCAAAACCCCGATATAATCGACCCCCTTTATCGCTCCGCGTTATTATATATCGTGGAAAATATGTCAACGAGCAGAGAGAAGGCAGGATATGGCGTAGGACGATGAGTAGGCAGAGTAGTTGTTTGTATACCTAGAGGAAGACGTATATGTATAGACCTCTAGATGGGAGCCTGATATTTTTTCTTCGCTTTGCACAGAGTCAAATTTACTACGTACGTTTATTCAGATTTTTTATTGTGGTCAATATTAATTCGAGATTCTTCAAGTTTGTGTATATATTTATTAAATTAATTCTAAACACTAAATCACATCCCATGATATATCTGTCAAATAAAATAATATAAAAATTATTAAAAATCCTCTAATTATAAAAAAAATGATTTAATACGCTTGGAGTTAAAGCACTGTATATTTTATCGAATTAATCGAACATATGTTGTATTTTATTGTGGTAGATTGTGGTAGAAATTTTAATATTTATGTATAAAAAAATCCTTTTCAAAACATATACATTTATTTGTTTCAAATAAATGATTTGTTAGGTGGTATTTAAATATTTATTAGTAATAGTAGTAGTAGTAAATTTCATTGGTCCCCTTGGGGTTTCAATTCCCTTACAATTTAACAATACAGCAGCCGCATATACAAAGATAGGTAAATGATTTGTTAGGTGGTATTTAAATATTTATTAATTTAATAATTTTTTTCAGTGTACCTCTTTCATTCTCTCACTAACATACGCTAACTCACGCTAACGCACACTAACGCACACTAACGCACACTAACTCACACTAACTCACTCTTTTTCTCTCTCGTTCTCCATCGCTCTTTATCATATTATATCATATTAATATCTATCACAATAAGATATATAATATGTTCGATTAATTTACCATGTACATATTAATATTTTTATTAGGGTAAATATTAATCAGAGAAACTCATAAAATTCTTCCAATACCATATCGTCCCACGATTACCATGATTTTCAGGGTAAATTCTAAGCAAAATTTCTTTCCGTGTATATATTTAATATATCTGTCAAATGTAAAATAATAAATTGAATATATAAAAATTATTAAAAATCGGAAATTAAAAAATTATTTAATAATTAAGCTAAGTAAATATTAATCAGAGAAACTCTTATAAAATTCTGATGATTTTCAGGGTAAATTCTAAGAGAGAAAATTCTGTGCGTATTACCATGTCTTTTTTTGCAAGTGATAGAAAGAAATTACACGCGCTCTCACTCTATTCGATTGAAATGTAACCCTCCCTCGGGAGGGAATGTCGGTATTTCGCTTAAGTGACGAACATTAACCGGAACTCGCGACGCTATCGACATCGGAACTGCGCATACCGAGTGTGTTTCATTCGTCGACGGCAAAAGCGGAAACGCGTCGCGGTCAACGGAGAGGATAACAGACGTTGAATCGAAGATCGGAACACTTATTCGCGCGAGCGTTGGCGTGAACCGGTTTTGCGCTCGGTTAACGGCTGATATTAAAACTTTAGACGAGATCCCGATGGAATCTCGAAGAAGGGATTCTCCAAAAAATACATTGCGCCTCCGGTTTTACGGGTTTTCGCGCCAAACTTTTCTCTTCTTTCATTTACATTTTTCTTCCATAATTTATCATTTCTGAATATTTAACAAGTCTGAAAGCATATTCTTTAATTAATTTCAGAGAGTGAAGTATAGCGTTTCAACTCAAAGCTTAATTATTAAATCACTCTTTTAAATATATTTTTAGAATTTTTAATGATTTTCTCTTATAATTTACTCTGAAAGTCGTCAGAATTTTATAAGAGTTTTCTAATTAAAATTTACCATAATAAAAATGTTTATATCTAACACAATAAAATATAAAATATGTTTGATTAATTTTACTATGTACATAGTAAATTTTATTATATTATTATTTTTTATTTTTATTTATCTTATAAAATTACGATGATTTTCAGTAAATTCTAAGAGAAAATTCTTTCCGTGTAAAAATGTATAATAATTAAAAATTGGAAAAATTTACACAATAAAACTAACAAGCTTTTGCTAGACATTTTCATAAAATAAAATTAACAACCTTTTTTCCAATTTTGCGATGTAATTTTTATTATGTTGGAGAATAAAAGATTTCGCCTAATTGAGCATATAAATATTACACAGAATGTCTTTATATAGATAAATAAAGATGTCATATAAAAAATTTCTATATCAGTATAAAAATAAAAATATTAATTATAGCGAAATTGCTAAAATTTTTACACAAGAAATTATTTATACAGAAAATAAAAAAGAACGGCAAATGTAAATTAAATTTAAAAAAAATGAGATATTTAATATAAAATATAAAGATAATATTTCCTGTTGCTGATTAATCTGAATAATTGTAACAAATAATAATAAACGAGGCTAAACCCGCGTGCGAAAAGAAGAGGTATAAAACGCGGAATGTTTTGCAATTAACATATATACGCGACAAAATGAGTCTTATCGCCCTCCTTTTCGTATAGGTTTTACTCCAACAGTGTTTTGCGAACGTTTCTCTCGTATCAGCGGTAATGCGGTGCAGCCCCCCTTCGCCCCCCTTCCGCGTATACACGAAGTAGCTTATATAATTTCGCTCTATACCGACGCTTTTCTTACGTAAGAAGCGACTCCCGATCGACGACCGATAGTCGGGTTCCCAACTTTTTCAGGGGCATGGAAAATGCTACAGTTA